ATATATATATATATATATATATATTAATTTCTCTTTGTGTCCCAACCATAGATATGTTTTTAAAAAGTCAAACTTTAAATTATATTAGGTCAAAATAACATTTCCTTTTAGGTATCTTTTTACCATGTTCCTCGTTAAGAGATATTTCAAATAGTTAGGGGTTATTTGTTTATCTTTTAATGGTTTAATTAATTATAGATAAACATAATCAAATATATGATAAATCAAATACTCTAATCGTATTTTTTTATAGATGGAATGAGCGTATTTTTTATAGATGGTTCTAAAACCCTTTGAATGATTTTGTATCTTAGACCTCCCTTAACCATCCAGTGTCATAATTTCATTGTAAACAATTATATTTCATTTTGCACCATATCATGAGAGTCTCTTAATAATTCTGACCACTTGATCATTCTGCATCAAACCACTCAGCAAGTGTCAAACAGTACTTTAATTAATATATTAGAGTTTAATATCAGTTAGTTTTGAATCAAATCTTCTTTTTGAAGAGTTTTTTTAGAAAGTAATCTAATGAGGTTTCACATATTCTCACATGGTATTAAAGACAAAGTCTGTCACTTTTAGGGACTCGATACTCTAGGGTAATTTGTGCTCATCTAGCCCCCCATGCGTCTTCCTCTTCTAGACACTTTGTGACGATCTATAACAGTCTAGTCTCCATTGAAAAAGGGGTGTTAGGAATTTGTTAGCAGCTTAATGAGAATATAATGCTCAACTGATTCGGTCAGTTATATATAACTGTTTGGTAGCGACTTAATGATATAGAAAATAACTTACTATGTGAGCTTCTAGGGAAGGGAGCTTATATAGAAACCCAATTTTTTTCAAACATGTCACTTCTAATTAAAAAACACGTTCATTCTATCTATGAAAAACTATCTCAAATAAAAATCTTTCTGATCTATACAGACAGATTAATCAACACATACATCTTTATTCATACAAAACTTAATGAAAATCAATCAATTAGTCTCTTACAATCTGACATCGACTGAACTTAGACTATTTCTTATCTATATATATATATATATATATATATATATATATAGGGGAGCGATCAAATGCAAACCACTCAATTTGTACAAACCGTGCAAACCGCATTCAACCAATCATAATTTTTCATTTTGTTCATTTTTTTGTAATTATGAGAGGTTGATTAATCATTTTTATTGTGGAGG